TTGTTCTTCGAAGAGCTACCCGAAACCTGAGACTTTCTAGTGTGTTGTTGAGTTTAAGGTTTATCAACATGTAGTTAAGACAACCACAATTGCTTACTGGCCAAGCAACAAAGGATACTTCAGTCTTGAATATAGTCCAGGGAGCTGAAGTTAACTCCAGGGCTCGTATCCTGGGCAGGACAGAAATGGATGGGTAATTTGCTATCACCTAATACCTCCGTTCACCTAGCAGTAAACAGGTACCCCAGGAGTTAATCAGCTTGTTGTGAGGTTGCACCCTGAGAAGGGTCTGTAGTTCGACCTGAAGGAGACCTACATATATGCCTAACATGTATCGCCATGTCCTCATCAACAAAGATCAAATGCTCATTAATCTAAATACCAAACCCCTTGTTTATGATTGGAAAATAGTTTACACACGACGTTACTGATTACGTTCGATCACTTCCCAATCAGAGCTTCGCTGACGACCTCTGCTACAGTCGCAACGCTGTAAATGCTTCACCCATGCACGTACTTCAAATACAAATAATCGTCAATAGGAACTAAACATCTTACCTACGCCTAACTATATATAGAACGTTAATATATATAATACCCACGGGCTCACCCTAGCCCATGCTACTGGAACTTCTTGTTTTGAGTAGCTGAATCTAAAACAACAACAATATATATAATACTAATATATAAACGAGAACAAACCTATTTATAATACACAATACATTAACATTTATGAATACGTTTCAGGGGGGGGGGGGGGACGGCCGCAGCTTTAAGGAGCCTAGCCTGAGAATGGGTTGCATGTATATTAAACAACACACTCACTGTGATCAGATTATAATTATTATATAGAAAATTCAATATCTGCCCACGAGCGTAACGCCTTCCCGCAGATGTATGAAAGGTCTGAGTGTAAACTTTAGACCCTAGAGCATGCAAACTGTCTCATCACCTCGAGTCAAATCTTAAAACATGCAAGACATTTTTAACTAATATAAGTCAGACCAGTGAAGCCATCCTGGCGAGTACATAATGAATGGTATTGGTTTTAGTTAGAGCATCTGGAGACATTTCTTAAAGTTAGCTATGAATACTCTGGCTTAAAACACAATTCGAACCAAAAACCCAAGTCAGCGGTCGTCCCCCTTGCTGTTATCCACAACACGAACTACGGGAGTAGTAATGAAACATGAGCAGAGGTAATCCAGGGGGTCATTTAGTATTTTGTTATAACCAGACATTCAAAATTTGTTTTCCCTTGTAATGTGCGTTTGAGGAATCCAATACTGAAAAGCATCAAGGTAACGACTGCATGTTATCCAACACATGCGGGGTTATTAAGGCCATAAACACCTGCTAACTTCCCAACCAGCACATGTATACTATACTACCTCGTGAAGCTCTGAGTGTCTAGCCCCTCCGAATACTTAACACACTTGACATATGAACAAAGGTAACTGCAGAAGGTATATTGGCCAATACGAGGCGGCTCCTTGACGAACTGATGCAGACTGGTGACTTGCAGGAAGTGCATGCCACTCCTTGTATAATGTGTGTGACGCTAAACACGGACCCCACAACTGGCTCATCACCTGTCTCCGTCTTGACGAGTCACTCTCCTGTCAGTCAGATCTTGGGAGTCACTCTCCTGTCAGTCAGGTCTTGACGAGTCACTCTCCTGTCAGTCAGGTCTTGGGAGTCACTCTCCTGTCAGTCAGGTCTTGGGAGTCACTCTCCTGTCAGTCAGGTCTTGGGAGTCACTCTCCTGTCAGTCAGGTCTTGGGAGTCACTCTCCTGTCAGTCAGGTCTTGGGAGTCACTCTCCTGTCAGTCAGGTCTTGGGAGTCACTGTCAGTCAGGTCTTGGGAGTCACTGTCAGTCAGGTCTTGGGAGTCACTCTCCTGTCAGTCAGGTCTTGGGAGTCACTGTCAGTCAGGTCTTGGGAGTCACTGTTAGTCAGGTCTTGGGAGTCACTCTCCTGTCAGTCAGGTCTTGGGAGTCACCCTCCTGTCAGTCAAGTCTTGGGAGTCACTGTGAGTCAGGTCCTAATGATCGTCAGAAACCCCAGTATTCGGTATACAGTTTGGTAAAACCAGCAGGTGGCTATATTTTTTGCTCGTCTCAGAATTGAGAACAATCAATGACAAAAGAACAAAAAAAATCTATGAACTCTTGTATTACAGTCTTTCTAAATCTGGTGGATCTTGAACTCTACCACCAATCCTAGCTTTCTAGCATGCTGAAGCACTACACAGCAGTTTATCAATATATATATATTGAGCCACTCAAATTGTTAACTAAAATTCAGTTTAATATACACCATTGTACACCTCTTCAGTACAGCCAGAATAGAAATGATTTGCACAAGTTGTTACCAATAAAGCCTCAGATTCCCATTCTAATACTGTGATCTAGCACGGTGAAACTGTGTACGCAGTTACAACCTATCAAAATAAATAGTTAACGTGATTTATTAAGAGAAACTATTTACACTGCGTCCCTGGACACTCATAGTAGCCAGAAAAGTTTCGGTGAAACCTCGAAAAGAAAAGATCAAAATACTTTGCGATGTGAGAGTTTACTTATGATGCTTTATAAATACAGCAGCTGCGTCTGTTGTAAACCAGAGGCAAATTAAACTTTGACCGTTCCTACAGTACTGGGTTATAACGCAGTTTCTAAAGAGAGAAATTCAGCAAATTTGATACAGTAACCTCATTTGAACACTATATTGAAATTCCCAGTTTTCAGCGTACAAGAAGTGTGCAAAATAATATTTGTAAACATTATTAGTCTAAGACTAATAATATCGACATAAATTAAATATATTACCTAACAATATATTTAAAATATAATAAAGTTTATGCAATTTAGATAACATTATTTGTCACTCCGAGGGGTAATACTGGTTCAACTACACATTATTAAACACAAATTGCCGTTAACAATTATGTAAATATAGGAAAAGTATATTAAAAACCAAATAGGATCCGTAGAATTACCAAGACCCACTCGCCAAATTTTCCAAATCTTACCTCAAGCTGCTTATAATTTAGCAAATACAGCCCAAACAAAGTATATGGTAGTGTGATAATGATAATGAACGCATAGCACGAGAAAACTTATTTTAAATGATAAATAAGCTAAAATAAGGGCAAAATAATTTAATGCACATGATCAATGGAAATCAATGATCTGTGCGTATGGTCAGCTACTTTCAACGCTATGTGATATCGTCATTTTATTTCGGTTTAAAATTAAATAATTAATAAAAAAAAATCCCAACAACAGTTGTTAGTACAGTCGGCTCACAAATGATTGGGCCAGAGTTCGAATCCAGCAATGTAGCATTGCTGTTTTCTTATATCATGTTATACACATAGTTTGCTCCATTGTATCTTGCAATAATCCTCAAATTATGCCAAACTATACCTGTGTATAATCCTTAAATTTACTTTAATGTATCTACGTTTTTCCTGTCAAATTTCTTATACAATGTATTTTTATAGTTTCCTATAATGTACCTGTAAACATTTTTAATTTTGCTAGAAATTACCTACTTAAAATTATATGTTAGATTAAGGATCTGCCCGAAACGTTATGCGTGCTAGTGGCTTTACGAGAATGTACAACTTCAAGACTATCTACTCTAATAAACCCAACGTGCCTTCTTGTATATAAATAAATAAATAAATAAATAAATAAATAAATAAATAAATAAATAAATAAATAAATAGATCCCAAGCAGGGAGATACGTCTGCGAACGCTTCGTAATCCTGATTTCCTCTAGTCACTGAGCAGAAAATAGGTACCTGGAAGTTGGGGAACTTGGGGGAAAGGTTTCATCCAGGGTAAGACGATGGTTGAGCTCGTGGGGACCCTCGATCACCCCTAACAGTCTTCTTGTCCCCGATGAGTGCACACCATTTGGCCTTCATTTGCGTAAATAAACTGATTGTGACAAAAGAATCGAGTTGAACCAAGAACCTGAGTTCAAATAAATAGACAAACAGCAGTTCCAGCGTGACCCCTGACAAACAACAGCTCCAGCGTGACCCCTGACAAACAACAGCTCCAGCGAGACCCCTGACAAACAACAGCTCCAGCGAGACCCCTGACAAACAACAGCTCCAGCGTGACCCCTGACAAACAACAGCTCCAGCGAGACCCCTGACAAACAACAGCTCAAGTACTTATTTAAAGGACACAAAGTAACAAAGAATTACGAGAACTGTGTCCATGACACTGAAGAGCGGACATTATATTCTCGTCCTGGGCCCGTGTCCTACGCCGGCCACTGACCGCGTCCTCGCCGCCTCCTGCGGTCACCTTCCGCTGCCTCTTCGTCCTCTCCCGCCATTTATCATAAATTTAAATTTAAACTTTTTTGTAAATTTGATATAATTTCCTCCTCGTGACACCTCGAGGTGGCTATATTTAACAGCGGTACACTTGTCAACAGTGTGTTGCATGTTTATGAAACGTATGACATCCCCGAGGCGGCAAAAACTCGCCAGAATGTTATAGCGAAGCCGGTCCGCCATTGCATGTGCGAGCCCCGTACACCCAACCATGACCGAGGCTTCACACTCCGACCACAGGATGACTCCTTCGTCCCGACGGGAGGGGAACGCCAAAGTACTGCGGCCCGAAGGCAGTCATTGGCTCTGGAGGTGGGAAGTCCTTGTTCGCCGGACCAGGGGGACGCGCTCACCATGCCATCTCGTTTATTATTCGTCAAAGTATTCTCGCTCTGTAACTATGATGACGGTAAATATTGTTACCGGTGTGGTGTTGGTAAATTGTAAGGTTGACTAGAGGTGGTTGGTGCGATATATTAATATACATTTGCCTTATACTATTGTTAACCGTTTCCCCGAACTGAACGACAGCTTTTGGCTCCTCCCTGCCCCCCAAAAAAACAACTATTGAGGATTTCCCCCCCAGTTCATCCCACTTATTTTTTTCCCCCTCTGCACCAGTTTTGTATAAAAGCCAGACACCTTACCCATCCCAGCACAGACAGACGGCGCTCTTACTCCTGCAACAGTCTACTTCATTTTATCAACATGAAACTGGTAAGGTTGACGTCTGAGTACATTCCTTAATGAATATATACCGAAAGGTATATTTCTCAGTGTCTATATATATATATACTGACATTGGGAATCGCATGTCTGAGAATCACCTAAACGCGAGTTCAAGTCACCCCGTTGCCTCCAATTTTTTTTTTCAATGATATATCAGGCCATTGTGATTGCAGGGCGAACCCAAAGTTATATTTGAATCAAACAGTGAGGAACTAAACCTCTTCTTGCATATTAGATATTAAGTTTTATTGCGTCCGTGGTGATACTGGCGCTACTAGGCTTCAATAACCCACCATGTTATAATCATTAGTTGGAAACGTTCTTGTATATTAAAAATGCAATTTTTAACTATAATTCTTATAGCGCGATTGAACTGTGGAAATGTGTGAACTAATTTTATACATGTTTTAATATTCGTTAACTACAAAGAAATTTTCGCTCGAAGTGTTGTTACATAAAATTTCACGAAATGCATTCGCAAATGAAGAAAATTTAAACATGGTATTTCCCATAATATACATATACAACATAATATAAAGTGATTACAGTGGGAGTAGTTGTGTGGCATTAATAACTCTCTAGTCTATGACTAGAGGTTGATAGGCTCTTTATCACAGCAACAAATCAAATTAACTTGCTAGTAGCATTTATATTTTAATGTTATTTCGTGTCAAGGTTTTTGTGAATGGCTTTTAGATTTTGTCCATATAATAAAAAAATTAATATTGTGATTTGTACTGGTCTCAAGTTTGCGTTTCAAAGGCGATCTTTAGTGTAAGAAGATATTTCAGCTGTTTAAGACTTTATATATTGTATTAATTCAGGTTGGTTTGGTGTTTAAGTACTATCAACCACGGAAGGGTTAGTAAGGCCACCACAATAGTCTACTAACCAACCAGCAAGTATACCTAAGTCCTTAACAAAGTCCAGAACTAAAGTAAATTCAGTATACACCGAGACCCGAGAACACCTCCCTGTATACATCCCTGTCAATAACTTTATGAATCTCGAGAATACGTGGGATATACGTACTAATATATTCTCATCAGCAAAGCCTTATCAGTCGATCAACAGAATTCAATCAAATATTTTTACTTAAAAATGTTCACACTTACATTTTCCCTGATACAGTATTACCACAATATTTTCTTCCTGTTGTTTTGCCTAGTTTCATTTTTCTATTTAAACCCATAAGAACGGAATATCTGACGGATTTTATACAATGTTGGTTAGTTATACTTGATCCTGTCTTGCAAAAACTTCCATATTTTGTCTACCGAGTAACCCCGAGTCCTAACCATGGCACTGATTTTATACACAAAATATATTCAAATAATAAAAAAATATATTATAGATTCGCCTTTTTTTCAGCTGGAGTACAATAGACGGTAAATATTGGCCGCGATTATTACAGAGCGAATATTGTTTATTTGTAACGTGAACGCAGCGATAATCATATGAGCGAGGCTTCTCTCGTCTGTTATTTCATAGCATAATAACGTCACCAGTGAACAAATCCACAAGGGCCGTGACGAGGATTCGAACCTGCGTCCGGGAGCATCGCAGACACTGCCTTAATCGACTGAGCTACGACAGGGTTAAAAAAAAAAAAAAAAGAGTTGAAACCGAAGTTCTACTGAACTTACTGGATCCCGTAGCCTCTCCGAGGCACCTTGTGGATTTGTTCATTTGATGCATCACGTTACTGTGATCTCTGTGTGTAACGTCACCAGTGTTTCATATGTTGAGTCATTATGTTTGTTGTTGTTAAAGATTCGCTACCTGGAACAAAAAGTTCCAAGTAGCACGGGCTATGGTGAGCCCGTAGTGGATGATTATGAGTCATTAATTGAAAATATAGCTTGGGCTCAAGGCTGGGTTGGAATAAGTCATATACCGACTTAATAAAAACTGTCAGTATTCGGCTTGTACAATTAACAAGATGAATCTTCCACACAATATAACAAATGTTTTCTTCTTAAATATAAATTAATATTATTATGTAATTATTGGTTTATGTGTAGTTAGATTATGTTGATTTAGGGAATGTTTAGGCTACAGGCTGTGAGTGAAGCACGAGATAGCATTGAAACATAGCTAGGTGGACTATAAAGTCAACTATTGACTTACGTAGATATTAACGTTAGTATTTACCTTGTACGTATTTAACTTGACGAACCATTTACAAAACTGTTTAATTTGGCTCAAATGCCAGTTCAATTCTTAAGGACAAAATTAGGAAGCATGCAAATACTTGTCAAGTGATTTGTTTCACGAGAAACAGGGGCCGTCTCCACACATAATTAACACTGATTAACCACCAGGGCTAATGGGTTGCCTGTTCTCCCTGCAGACCCACACATAATTAACACTGATTAACCACCAGGGCTAATGGGTTGCTTGTTCTCCCTGCAGACCCACACATAATTAACACTGATTAACCACCAGGGCTAATGGGTTGCCTGTTCTCCCTGCAGACCCACACATAATTAACGCTGATTGATCACCAGGGCTAATGGGTTGCTTGTTCTCCCTGCAGACCCACACATAATTAACACTGATTAACCACCAGGGCTAATGGGTTGCTTGTTCTCCCTGCAGACCCACACATAATTAACACTGATTAACCACCAGGGCTAATGGGTTGCTTGTTCTCCCTGCAGACCCACACATAATTAACGCTGATTGACCACCAGGGCTAATGGGTTGCTTGTTCTCCCTGCAGCCCCACACATAATTAACACTGATTAACCACCAGGGCTAATGGGTTGCTTGTTCTCCCTGCAGACCCACACATAATTAACACTAATTAACCACCTGGGCTAATGGGTTGCTTGTTCTCCCTGCAGACAATGATGTGGTTGGTGGCGTGTGCCCTGCTGGGGGCGGCCCTAGCCTTCCCTGCTCCCTTCGCTCTCCCTGACCCCGAGGCGGAGGCCCATCGTCGATACTATAGTGGAGGTGGACTCTATGGAGGTAGTCACGGAGGAGGATATGGAGGATATGGAGGAAGTGGATTCGGAGGAAGTGGATTCGGAGGAAGCGGATTCGGAGGCGGCGGATTCGGAGGAGGCGGATATGGAGTAGGTGGTGGATTCGGAGGAGGTGGATTCGGAGGACTCGGTGGTGGTGGTTATGGAATCTACGGGTAAAACGTTCTCTCCCAACTCCACTGTGATGACCGGAGCCGAGGTGGACCCTGGAGTCCCTCACCCACTGAAGAGAAGGCGTCTGTGTACTCCATGTTAGCTTAGAGAAGTGTTTACGTCAGTTGATTCCTAATTTATACACCACCTGATGTAAATAATTAGTGGAGCCAATAAATTATTTATGAAAATTGAAAAACACTTTAATTCCTCCAAAGTGCTAGCGGTAGAGCGACGGTCTCGCTTCATGCAGGTCGGGGTTTAATCCCCAACCGTCCAAGTAGTTGGGCACTATTCCTTTCCCCCCGTCCCACCCCAAATCCTTATCCTGACCTCTTCCAAGTGCTATGTAGTCGTAATGACTTGGTACTTTCTCCTAATAGTAAATGTAGTGGTTTCCGAAACCTGTAAACAGGCAAACCCATATTAATGAACATTAATGTAACATCGATCAGTTTTTTATTTCTGCCCGATTTGATGTATCTAATGAACAAATCCACAAGGGTCGTGACGAGGATTCGAACCTGCGTCCGGGAGCATCCCAGACACTGCCTTAATCGACTGAGCTACGACTGATCGACTAATCATTTGATGCATCACGTTAGTGTGATCTCTGTGTGTGATGTATCTAATTTTCCCTCCACTACAGGCAGGATGGGTACTGGGCGTCTGACTCCTCCACTACCGCCCACAGGATGGGTACACATCATAAACTGTACTGAGCGCCCGACGCCTCCACTACCGCCCACAGGATGGGTACACATCATAAACTAACAAAACTAACTATAAAACACTACCAGTAGACAACAAAACTAGGATAACGTCAAGGAGTCCCCCAGCGGGGTACTTGTATTTCAAGCCGCTATCGTCGGATGCCGCTCAGAAAATCAACAGGAAATACTGGTTCACATCGCGTCAGCGGTGAACAAGTTAAAAACTATATCATTCTCTTGTTCATAGACGAACAACTTTCTCGTATACAGTATGTATACAGAGCCAGTACCAGAATAAATGCAGAAAATAAACACTGTTAAGTGTTACGTAATCGAAGTAATATACACACACACAACATACAGAAGTTGCAGCAAGAACGCGTTACATGGTAAGCAACGAGCGAACCTGTTTTATCAACTCTTTATTTAAAGTCCCGAACCTGTCCTCTTCCGCAGGCTCCGTGGGTGTAATTTTATGGACGTTGACCCGACTCACTGGTCTTCAGGACAGCTGCTGTGGGACAATCCTGCGGTTACCGAGACGTTTATTATGATCTAGTGAGTTGGGCGGCTTGAACACAGTTTATGAGGACAAAATTTGGCGGATACAATATAGAATTTGGTGGTCTTAGCGGGTTTATGGATTATAAAAGTAACTATCAGAGAGAGAGAGAGAGAGAGAGAGAGAGAGAGAGAGAGAGAGAGAGAGAGAGAGAGAGAGAGAGAGAGAGAGAGAGAGAGAGAGAGAGAGAGAGAGAGAGAGAGAGAGAGAGAGAGAGAGAGACAGAGAGAGAGAGAGAGAGAGAGAGAGAGAGAGAGAGAGAGAGAGAGAGAGAGAGAGAGAGAGAGAGAGAGAGAGAGAGAGAGAGAGAGAGAGAGAGAGAGAGAGAGAGAGAGAGAGAGAGAGAAAGAGAGAGAGAGAAAGATAGAGAGAAAGAAAGATAGAGAGAAAGAGAGAGAAAGATAGAGAGAAAGAAAGATAGAGAGAGAGAGAAGAGAAAGAGAAAGAGAAAGAGAGAGAAAGAGAGAGAGAGAGAGAGAGAGAGAGAGAGAGAGAGAGAGAGAGAGAGAGGGAGGGGGGGGGGGCAAGTGGCTATCAGAGATACATCAACCATAGACATGGTCCATGGCCCGAGGACATGAACCATGACCTCGGGCCACGCTCCCCATCATTCCGACTATTTACCGTCCACCCACAGGCAGTGTGTAGGACAGGCATGAGGGACGGATGTCTGTCACTCCTGAGGACTCGCCGTCAGCAATACCCAGGCAAGACACCTGCAGAGTATACTCGTACAACCTACACGTGTGTGTACCACACGACAGTCTGGTGAATTAATGACAAATAACCTTTGCAACTCTACTAAAATATATTTTCAGCCTATATCAAGATTCACTTTTTTAGTTACGTCAGAAAGATTCAGTTAGATTTCACGAGCCAATAATAGGCTATTGTTTTCAAAATAATGTTTCTCAATTTATATCACCAATCGAATGAACTTACAATTATATTTAACTAAAATAATTTACACAATTTCTCTTAATACTTAAGATGTTATTTTGAGCATGGAATGCAAAAATTACACTTAAGATAACCTTGGAAGACAAACCTCAAGAATTTTTAGAAAAGTTATGAATCAGATATTCACTATCTCGCCTAGAAAGTGTAAAAGGTCGCTCGTTTCTACTCGAAAAAAATATTATGAGCGGTAGACTCACATTACCAAGGTAACAATGGACACTGATCAAAACTACAATATTGTGAACACCCTGTTGTAGATATTGTGAACACAGACCTATGATTGTAAATTGAATCACGCAAAATCTCTGGTAGGGATTTTTAAGGTCCCTGGTAGGGATTTTTGTGATCCCTGGTAGGGATTTTTATGGTCCCTGGTAGGGATTTTTGTGATCCCTGGTAGGGATTTTTGTGATCCCTGGTAGGGATTTTTGTGATCCCTGGTAGGGATTTTTGTGATCCCTGGTAGGGATTTTTGTGGTCCCTGGTAGGGATTTTTATGATCCCTGGTAGGGATTTTTATGATCCCTGGTAGGGATTTTTGTGATCCCTGGTAGGGATTTTTGTGATCCCTGGTAGGGATTTTTTGTGATCCCTGGTAGGGATTTTTGTGATCCCTGGTAGGGATTTTTATGGTCCCTAAGGGATTTTTGTGATCCCTGGTAGGGATTTTTGTGATCCCTGGTAGGGATTTTTGTGATCCCTGGTAGGGATTTTTGTGATCCCTGGTAGGGATTTTTGTGATCCCTGGTAGGGATTTTTGTGATCCCTGGTAGAGATTTTTGTGATCCCTGGTAGGGATTTTTATGATCCCTGGTAGGGACTTTTATTATCCCTATCAAAAACTGAAACCGCACCTATGCAACCTAGCCTACACATCATCCTTGGCCTAATACGTGCAATCCTAAGCCTAATGTGTGCCATCCTATGCCTAATCCTTGGCCTAATAGTCAACATCCTAGGCCTAATATGTGACATCCTAGGTCTAACATACGCCATCTTTGACCTAATTTAGCACATATATCTAACATAACCTAAATATCTGAACTGGACCGTAAGGCGGCGCCAGACGACAGGTGCATGGTATTGTGCTCGATTATAATGGGAATACCCACCACAGGGAGTGGTACCCACCTCACTACGAGGATGCCCCCAGACACTATACGTTTCTCTCCCGTACTCTCTAATATATACACAGGTTGCCAGATGGGTATTTTACGCTTTGCGCGCACACACACACACACACCCTCCTGAACCTATATGCTCTCTAAATCACCTGCCGGTTCAGGGTAAAGGGTGCTAAAACGATGATAGAGGAAGCTCTGGTATGGATCTACCCCCTGGCGTGTAATACAACTTTTTGTTCAATGTTGTGATTCAATGACCCGTTCGTACTCTGGTGCGGGTGTGGGAGGTGAAGCGACTTCTTGGGGTAATGACCGGCGTGGCGGCCAAGGTTAGCATAGTAGTCTGTACGACTGTTTTCCCTTTAAATAAAGAACTCCCTAGTGAATTAAGTAACTGCTCAATATATACTTTATTCGGAAGTAAAGCAGAGGCACCTAACTTTCTCACAATAAGAAGCCTAGCCTGCTTTCATGATGCTATCGACATTATTAAATTCTTTATCTGCCCGAAACGCTGCGCGTACTAGTGGCTTTACAAGATTGTAAATACTATGCTATGTATTCTCACAAACCCAATGTACCTTCTTGTATATAAATAAATAAAAATAAAATAAAAATAAAAATCTACCTAAGACCCTTTAACAACTACTTCACCTAATACTGTGCTTCCCAAAAAGTTAACTATCACCAATATCATTTCTAATTGTTTTACTGTAATATGTCTAGTTTTAATTACAAATTTTGTTTACTTCTTTTAACTTTCAAATTACTGAAAATTCTCAATAAGTCATTAGTTATAAATAAGTTTTTAATTATTCTGATTTTAACTTACAAATTACTCCAAGTCTCAATGTACATCTCAAATGTAAATGTTTAGTAATATGTAATATTTTGTAACCTACAAATCATTGAAAAACCTGAATGTTTATCTCAAATATTTTGTTAGTTTTTTAGAGTCGCACGACACACTGTTTAGTGGCTTTGTGAGAATGGCATTTCCATACCACCACTGTTATACGACCCACTGTTATTTTCGTATATATTATATATATACATAAAACACACACACGCACACACATTATATATATGTACAATATATATTATTAGATAATATATAAAAATCAATATATAATTATATATTGATTTTTATATATTATATTATCTAATGATATATATCATATATATTATATATATATATATATATATATATATATATATATATATATATATATATATATATATATATATATATATATATATATATATATCAATTTCACACACACTGGTGAAATGGTGTGCAATCCCCGGAAATAGCCGACCGCGAAGACGTATTGGGCCCGTATTAATATTAACCGAATCCGGGGAATTACCTGGAAAAAATGTGTTGAATCATCGGGGTTGTTCAATGTACAATTCGGCAACCCTGCCGGGGACGTGCAACACTCCCCCCCCCCAATATAACGGAACACTCAAACTCATACCATTAATTCATTTATGAAGCTCAAACACTAACACACACACAGACAACACGGCCGCTAGAAGCAATTTAAACTCCAGACACGGCAGAATACCAAAGTTTCTATATGGTTTCAACTAGTAATATGGATCTATATACAGGATATATATATATATATATAAATGCATTTCCTCCAGTGTGGCAACTGTCTCCGGTGCGTCGCAAACCCCCCAACCAGTGCAGGGTCTTCCCTGGTCTCCTCCCCTTACCATGCTGTATATATAAGACTGAGGATGACCGTAGTGCTAGAGAGATCCGTCAGCAGTATCCACGCTACCATCACCACCTCTTATCATCATGAAACTGGTAAGTCTTGATCTCACTCAAAAAAAGACCCTTTGTCGAGATACATCTTTTGTACTGAATTTAATATTTTGGTGGATATAGTCGATATTATTATTTTTAATTTATATAAATGTTGCCGTTGTGTAAAGTGCAGTGAGTCAGTATATGTGATATAATCATGCTGAATGGTTTTGATATATTAGACAAATATTGAAGGAACTGTCAGGAAATATATTTAATCAGACTGATGTGGTAATTAACAAACTGGAGACAAACCCTGTACCTTTAATTCCAAACTTATGCCTGTATGATCATGTATACCTATCAGGTGCATCCTGGTATACAAACTGAGAGCCTATTGTGCAAGCTCATATATATATATATATATATATATATATATATATATATATATATATATATATATATATATATATATATATATATATGACAATGTCAGACCACGGAGGAAAAATGAAACAGGAATTTCCTTAAGTACTTTCGTATATTAAATACATCTTCAGAAGGTCCAAATATATCTTCAGAAGGTGACCTTCTGAAGATGTATTTAATATACGAAAGTACTTAAGGAAATTCCTGTTTCATTTTTCCTCCGTGGTCTGACATTGTCACATTCTTAATCACGTGTTTATTTTCGTGATATACATATATATATATATATATATATATATATATATATATATATATATATATATATATATATATATATATATATATATATATATATATATATATATATATATATATATATATATATATATATATATATATATATATATATATATATATATATATATATATATATATATATATATATATATATATATATATACATATATATATACATATATACATATATATATATATATATATATATATACATATACATATATATATATATATATATACATATATATATATATACATATATATATATATACATATATATATATATATATATATACATACATATACATACATATATATACATATATATATATATATATACACATACATATACATACATATATATACATATATACACACACATATATATATATATATATATATATATATATATATATATATATATACATATATACACATATATATATATATATATATAACATATATATGTAGATTTTGTGTATATATGTAGATATGTGTATAACATATATATGTAGATATGTGTATACACATACGCCAGGAGCTGGCGTATGTGTATACACAGGAGAATATAGTCCTACACTATATTCATGACTAGCGTATATTTGCCGGTATATTCCTTACGCGGTTGTTTGGGCTTCAACCCAGCACCAAATAGTTCAAGATAATTATGATTAATCACAGGAAGGAGGAACGTTCGGAACAATCATTACTTGGCAACCACCTACAGCTGGTGAAGAAATGACAGCCTATTGAAAATGTTATCATTTGTAATTAATATAATATAAATTATATTACACAGATCAAATTTAACCATACAGCAACTGGGTGCAAACTGACTTTTGGTGTATTAATATAGTATTGAATTTATTGTCATTAAGCTTGAGACCACGAGTCAGATAATATGCTTAAGACACATACCATAAGTCACTTCTACACTATCCTCATACATTGTGTTAATATATTGTTCTTTTTGGCCAGACACTGGCAGCGGTGGCCCTGTGCCTGATGCTCGGGGTGGCCCTGGCCTTCCCCGCACCTGATGCTGACCCTGAAGCTGATCCGGAAGCCCTGGCTGAGGCTCACCGTCGCTACGGCTACGGTGGTGGCTATGGGGGATATGGTGGATATGGCGGCTACGGGGGATATGGTGGCTATGGAGGCTATGGCTTCGGCGGCTATGGTGGAGGATATGGTGGATATGGCGGGTATCGTCCTTACGGCCACCACCACCACCATGGTGGTTTTTACGGTTAATATTACGAATTATATTACTCTCTACGACATGTCTCTGCAGACGCCGGAATGGCGTGTGTTCAGTGATGTGTTGACTGCGACCACCAGCTCCGTCCTGTTAGCTTCTCCACCATTACTGTTCTGTGGTGCCTTACAAACTATTTATTACCTAATGTTTTGCTATACAAAATATATTAAATAAATTTTATATTTAAAAACATGCGAGTCTGTTTTTTTAAATCCTAAGCGTGTTATTTTCGGATTTCCTATCCCAGCAGTGTTATATATTTATGCAATATAAAATGTACTCTTTTTAAAACTAATTCCAACCCATATATCAATACTCCTGCTAATGTATGTTCGTGTGTGTTGCGTGAGATGATAAACAATAAACGATAAAAAAAATGGTGAGCCCGTAGTAGACTTACCTGGCACAGGAGCGGGGCTGCGAGAAACGCCCGCTGGTAATGGCTTATCAATCTGTCCTAAACGTACACGACACTACAACTGCACACTTGCAAACTGCTCCAGCTGGACACTCGTTAGCGTAAAATGACTGGTAGCAATACCTATGCTTGGTGTATAAATCACCTCACTTCTAACCTAAGTTTTTCAAATATTAGCCTAAAGTTAAGTCCGAAAGAACTTAAAAATAAGAAAGAACGCTTAAGTATTCCGGTTCTATGGAATAATGTATTACAGTCCTCCCTGTAATAACTACCAGATATATAGAGAAATTACTAATGACATGTTTTAATCACGATGCGCTGGCCCATGAGTGGGGAACCGCACATGAAATCCATCAACAGTACAGTAATTTTGTCCTGGAGGGCTAGTTCACTGGACGGCGTCACTCATCCTGTGAGTGAACATTTCGCCAAGGCTGCATTGACACCCCCCCCCCCCACCTCCCCCCAATAGAAAGAAACCCCACTAGGTTGTTCATCCTGTCACTTGTACCCATACGCAGCCGAGACTTGGAAAAATTAACCGCCAAACAAGGGATTAACAACTTAAAACCCTCAAAATTACGTTATCTCGCGGGAGTACAGTGAGGTAACCTTTTGAGAACTATCAATACTTGGCAAAAAGTGCTTTCCCAGCTCAAAACAATGTGGGATTATTTCACTGCACATACATAATGTCACCGACTCACCTTTTAATATTTTCCGCTGCATATTCTGCGCTGTTGACTACAATGTCGAAAGTGTTCCTCAGTTGTGTCAATGGACGTTCAAGTTCACTATTGGGTCTAGTGTAGTCAGCAACTGCGTGATGCAGTCCCGGTACACTTCCACACATGTGACTAGCACTTACAGCTGTCTCCTCCGTCTGCTAGGCAGAGTGCGTTCCCACACCAGGGTTGCCAGATCTAAATTGCTGAAAGTAGCGAATTTGTAATTAGAGTAGCCCAATTTTTGTTAGTGAATGATATGGGTTTCAAAGTAATATATTTTGATATATAGAGTACACTACACATGTTAATTGTTTTATTAATATTATTTCTGCACATACACACACACACACATATTATATATATATATATATATATATATATATATATATATATATATATATATATATATATATATATATATATATATATATATATATGTCGTACCTAGTAGCCAGAACTCACTTCTCATACATCTTCATAAGGATACTTCTGAAGATCCTATTTAATATACGAATTTTCTTAATATTTATTATATATTTACTATAATTCCGTTCATGACAAAGCAACACTTTTCAATATATCATTTTTTTATATTGGATATTATATATATATACCTATATATATATATATATATATAGGTTATATATATATATATATATATATATATATATATATATATATATATATATATATATATATATATATTGATTTTTTGCCGCCAGAGATGGATAGTTCATTAAGCATCCCCTATTCAACCAGTGAGTGGTGGTTTATTGTGCACCCCGAACCCCGACCAGTTGTGTAAGCGGACCCCGACCAGTTGTGTAACTGCAAGCCTAGCATGAACGAACAGACAATAAACATACTTGAACTTGAAATGGACTTTAATGTTTTTTCGGCAGCTTTATTTCCTTAGTTTCCGAGCTGTTTTCTTTACCGTGTATGTTGTAATAAACTATTCCTATATTTACAGTTGTTTCTCCCTGTGAAGATTATTAAACAATGGTGATTATAAGGGCGCGGAAGTTCAGCCTGGCCAGGGCCGCCAGCAGCCCTTGGGCCCGCCCCGGCAGCTCCCAGTCTTTAATTTGGCACCTTTGTGACACCTTTGTGGCACCTTTGTGGCACCTTGGTGTAAGCCTAACATGTATATATACACTGGCTGCCTGTCCCCCCTACACAATGATTTATTATTACCTATTATTTTATAATTTAATTTAAATATTAAATAAAATAATTTATTTAATTATTATAGTAAGTACTTAATAATTTAATAATAAGTAGTAAGTACATAAAAATAATTAAAAAGTACAGTTTAGTCATAGGAGATTCCTAGATTGGAATTCACTACCAAATTTCGATATATCCAAGTATTTTTAATGTGAAATGCTGTTATTATATGCATAAATTGTTGTTTTAATAATATTACGCTTAACCACTTGGGCTGGACGGTAGACCGACGGTCTCGTTTCCTACAGGTCCGCGTTCAATCCCCGACCGCCCAAAAGGTTGGGCAAAATTCCTTTCCCCCGTTCCATCCCAAATCCGTATCCTGATCCCTTCCGAGTGCTATATAGTCGTAATGGCTTGGCGCTTTCACTTGATAGTTCCCCCCCTGAATAATATTACGAGGGCAGTATTTACGGGCTATTCATGCCCGTGCCACCTCTTGGGTGGCTTAATCTTCATCAATCGAGAGCAGTACGTCCTAACCAGACGTTATATGATGATATCCTGAACAGTTGATAAATAAAAGTAATTGCATAACCTCAAGATCTAATACTTATCATAAATGGTATAAAATCTTATCATAAGGGATTTGTAGATCAGTGTTTAAAGGGAATTCGGAAGTAATAATAACACAGCTGATGCCATCTGTCGGCAGAAGAGAACACTATCAACTGGCTGGTCAACAGTGGCCAAAAGGTACAGCTTACGCCATCTGTTGACATCAAATTACACTTATAACAAATTACCCCACAAAATACCACTAACGCCATCTAGTTTTTTTCCAACGCACTATAAATAGCCAAACAGCAACCCATAAGGCGGGTTGTTGTGCTCGGGTAGGAGGTTCCAAGCTCCGCCCACAGATGGTATGGGGTGCATAATCAATGGCATATTATTGGTTGAAACTCTTTGTTGACATTCACACAACAGCCAATCACAGGAAGGGATCAGCTAAAGGCTCCATCCACTTAATAAAGCGTCTTTATTCAGCACACCATCCTTGCTTATGACATTCTGCTTCAACTTTAATCTACCTAAAAAGTGAAATGTTAAGTATTTAAAAGTATTAATATAGTGATAATTAAATACTGCAGGATGTAACGAGTGTTACAGAAACATGGGCTGGCTACCTAACTTGGGACGTCATCAGTGGGTGTTGCCTCACACAAATAATATCGGCGATACAATGCCTCCGTCCTCTTATTGGTCTACATTATTCAGTTAGATGGAAATTTCTGTCTTGTATAAAACAGAAATTGTTGTTCTTTTGTACAACAACAAGGTTATTAAGCAAAAGGACGTATTTCTTATTTTGCATTTTATTCATATAAGCCTTGGCATTCACACAACAGCCAATCACAGGAAGGGATCAGCTATAGGTGCCATCCACTTAGTAAATCATCTTAGTTCAGCCCACCAGTCCTGCTTATGGAATTCTGCTTTAACTTTAATTTACCCAAAAAAGTGAAGTGTTAATTATTTAAAGTGTTAATAAAGTGATAATTAAATATTACAGGATATAACAGATGTTATATAAAAATGGGCTGGCTACCTAACTTGAGACGTTATTATTGGGGGTTGCCTTGACACAAATAATGATACACTGCTCTGCCCTCTTATTCGAGTAAATTATTCAGTTAGATGGAGATTTCTGTCAGGTGCAAAACAGAAATTGTTGTTCTTTTTCACAACAACCTTGTTGCTGTGCACAAGAACCTATTTCTTAGTTTAAATTTTATTCATAAAAGAGTGTTGGTATTCCCCGCAACAGCCAATCACAGGAAGGTATTTCAGGAAGCTCGACCTCCTTATGGACTCAGCACATCGCTCTAGCTCATGGCTCTGTTTCATCTCTTGTATATACAAACTATGACTTTTTTCGATTACTGTTATAATTAATAATACGAGATATAAAAGTTTTTACACAAAATGGCTAAATTCTGCCATTAAATGGACTTTGTCTGGTATACATACAAACATACACCAATTTATTACCATTCATCCATTATTAATTTCAAATGTAATGTATACTGTCTAGTTTTTTCCTCTCGCCATTACTTGGTGCAATATTTGAAAGTTGTCTATTTATTTATCGATCTATCTATTATCTTGTATTTATATTTACAAGTTTTTGTGCTTGGAAGAAAACTCTGCATTGAATTGGGACTAATATATTAAATAATATTATTTAGTATTAATTAATATTTACAATTATTATTAATTACAATTATTTATAGCATAGTTACTTTCATGTAACTCGCAATCGTACATTCTTAACATTAATAGCCCAAATTAGCCCATCTTGCTTTTAAATTAGCCCAAAAAGTAGCAAGTAGCGAAATTAAAAATTTGGGGGCGCGGGGCTCTCAAAAGTAGCCCAATTCGCTATTTGTAGCCCAATCTGGCAACCCTGTCCCACACGTGACTGACTGCACTCGTTTCATACTGGCGATCTAACACAGAGGACTTGAGCAGTCACACAACCTTCACATCAGCTCGTGAATTGGAGCCAAGGAGCAACCTTGGCTCCATCAGCCCAAACCCTAGTTGCCATGTCACGAAATTGGTATGCTAAATTACCCGAATTTAGCCTCACCGATCCACCTACGAATAGAAAAACGTAGCAACCCGTCAATTTGGGAACTGCTATGATTTCATATGATTTTGAAATCATATTTTGACTTTGGGGATTTTAACGTCAAAATACGAGGTTCATTTCGAGAGGGCATACTGTTGGATAGCCAAGAATGTTCACACATCATTGTCCAAACAGCCTGTACCTTAGTCAACCAGCTGTCATACGTCTCACCACATTTGCTGTCGTTGACAAATATTGCTTGCGAGCGAGCCTTCACAATGACACTAAAATATTCTACTAAATGGCCGGAACCCGTCCTCACACTAGGCTGTTTAAAGCAGAGGCCGTCCTCCCAGACGCATTCATCATTTTTTTAAATACAACTTGTAAATAAATCTAAACCCAAATGATAGAGAATATGACGAACGTCAGCATGCTACACTACACACAAATCACAATAGCGTGATGCATCAAATGAACAAATCTAACAGCATGCTATGCTGTTAGAGTGTCAGTTACTCTCATGAAATTAATGTAATTTAATATAATGCAAACTACGTGCAATAAAGGTTGCAACTTTACGCTCAACAAAGCTTCGTATAAAAGTCCAATCGTATGAATAAAATTGTTGGTTTGATAATGAGAAGTCTTCAAATTTTAAATGTATTTTATTAAAAATATATTTATAAAATTAATTATATAGCTTACACAGGAATACAAATATGATCAATACATCAGTGCACTGACGCCAACTGTCAGCTGACAGAAGCTATACAACAGTGTATTAACGTCAATATCCGATGGACAGTTGACAGACGCTATATTACAGTGTTGCTATGCATAAGGACAGTTGACGGAGGCCACAAATCAGTGTGTTGACGCCGACGGACAGTTGACAGAGACCTTAGCCAGCAATCTTATCCGTCGTGATGATGGTGTCGATGGTGGTGTCGGTGGTGGTGACGACCATAAGACTCGTAACCGTATCCATCATAGCCGCCATATCCATAGCCAGGTCTACCACCATATCCAGGTCTACCACCATATACTGGTCCACCACCATAGCCACCATAACCACCATAAGCCCCGAAAACATTACTGGGCAAGGCTTCAGGGGCGGGGAGTGCCAGGGCCAGCCCCAGCATCAGGCACAGGGCCACCGCTAATAGTGTCTGGCCAAGAGAAAAATGACGATGTTAATAGCATAAAAAGTGTTTTAGGATTTGCGTAGAAATTATGAATGTATGTTGACTTTGCCTACACACAATGAACTGTACAAGAAATTGAAAGGAAAAACAGAAGGTTGAATAAGTGTGATTAAGGATAGAAATAGCCTAAGCTATTCGATCCTTTTAGGGTGTATTTTATTATCTAAATAAATTTATAGTTTATAAAATTGTATAGTCTACAGAATTGTATAGTCTACAGAATTGTATAGTCTACAGAATTGTATAGTCTACAGAATTGTATAGTCTACAGAATTGTATAGTCTACAGAATTGTATAGTCTACAGAATTGTATAGTCTACAGAATTGTATAGTCTACAGAATTGTATAGTCTACAGAATTGTATAGTCTACAGAATTGTATAGTCTACAGAATTGTATAGTCTACAGAATTGTATAGTCTACAGAATTGTATAGTCTACAGAATTTTATAGGCTACAGAATTTTATAGGCTACAGAATTTTATAGTTATAGAATTTTATAGTTATAGAATTTTATAGTTATAGAATTTTATAGTTATAGAATTTTATAGTTATAGAATTTTATAGTTATAGAATTTTATAGTTATAGAATTTTATAGTTATAGAATTTTATAGTTATAGAATTTTAGTTATAGAATTAAATAAATTAAATAATATTATTAAATTATAAATTAAACTATTAAAAACGTACTTTTAACTAGAATGTGATTTATAAAATACTGAAGCCTTCTAACTCTAGCATGAGTGACCACCAAAGAGAACCCTATTTCAATGTTTACACCAAATCAAATAAATATGTACACATAAGTCAATTATTTTAAAATCTTTTTAACAATCCAAAAATGTTCTCAGTTAATTTGTAAGTATTCGTTAATTAAACATATTAATTTTCTCTAATTTGCTTCACATTGAACGAATTATGTGTTAGCTTACTTCTTGTTCAGTATTAAGAGTCTACCTACTCAAACCTTTAAATAAGGAAACTGTATTATCTTAAAGTTATGCCCGAAACGCACTGTTTGTTAGTGACTAACATCCTCTATTTACGTTTTGAATGTATATGCACACTGTAAACTCAATGTAGTTATGAGTAGATATGGTTAAATTATGTTGCGGGAGAGATAGATCTTTGCCTACACACAATGAACTGTACGAGAAAACAAAACGAGTTTTGAAATAATAGCAAGGTCTTCACAATCACTTTTATAATTTTAAAATAAATGACAAAATTTAAATAGACACCAAAACAAAATATTTAAATTTTTGTCAAAAATGACAAAAATTAAATATACACCAAAAACAAACTTAAATAAAAAATTGCACATTACAGTAAAAGTAATCAACTGAATTGAACTTACGAGTTTCATGATGACGGAGTAGGTAGTAGCAGCCTGGTCACTGCTGGCGGGTCTCTTAGGAACTATGACCTGTTGATCTCTTGGCCTGTGACTTACTGATGGTCAAGAATTCCCGCCCCAGGCCTATATATACACTGACCCAACCCACACCCGGGCAAGGTTGCCAGTGGATTAGTAAACAAATGCACCACAGCTGCCATGGAGTGAAAATTGCTTAAGCAATATAGAAATAAAGCAAAATTATGATAGACAATTCTTTGTATACCATATCAAACTGTATAGATGTATGATAATGGTATGATAGACAATTCTTAGAAGATTCAAACACTTCACATAAAAAATGCAATAATAAAAATTCTTTTAGATTTATTTCGTAATATGTACTGTGGCAATTACCGAATTTACGTAAATTTACAATGTTTGTAATGCAATATACAGTATTATTATTATTATTTTTACCGTTAGCGTTTTTTAACGCGAAAAATGCTAATAATGCGTTAGTGGCTTTGTAAGAATGTAAAACTATCAATAATGTAATCTCACCAACCCATTGTACCTTCTCGTAAATCAAATATTATTATTATTATTATTATTATGTACTGTATGGATTTGTGAGCCCCTTGAGACAATGTGTAGTATGACTATCCTTTCGGATAGAGGCATACATGCTCTATACGATACATGCTCTATACGATACATGCTCTATACGATACATGCTCTGTGAACACATGATACATGCTCTGTGTTCACACACACTAGATCACTGTGTTCTAATGTGTGAAGTATGCCGTGTGTTCACACACTAGCTCACTGTTATAGTGTTTGTAGTATACATCGTGTTCACACATTAGACATCTTGTGTTCTAAAATGTATATTTATAGATGAATATAGAAAAATGGACATTTGCAATGCATCGCTCAAGTTACCTGGTCGTGTGAAAATTGCATGGTAGATATAATGCTCAGAAAGTTCCAACACTTTGCGCCAGGATATAACGGTAGCGTTAATTTATTAATGTATAGGTAATAATTTATTGTTAATTGTATTGCGTTACATAATTATGATACTTATGTCGTGATTTAATGTAATAATTATGATAAGCATTGTATGAAGTATTATTTGTGAACTCCTTCACAAATAATATTTAATGGAGCTCAAGTTCAAATTGACGTAATTTCAGACTAAAGTACACATAAAAAAGATCAGGGGAGTTTAGGCTATTTCTTCCTTGTTCTATTAAAAGTCAATCAAGAAGCTCACAAATCTATACAGTACATTCTTTTTTTATCTTTATTTAAGGAAATACAATATAAATCATCTATACATAAGTTTTACAAGGCAATACTATATATATATATATATATATATATATATATATATATATATATATATATATATATATATATATATATATATATATATATATATATATATATATATATATATATATATATATATACAGGTGTATGGTGTATAGAGTAGGTCACTATAGCGATGGCCGACCCCTCGCAGTATTCAAGATAGAACTTGATAAACACCTCCAAAGGATACCTGACCAACCAGGCTGTGACTCATACGTCAGGCTGCGAGCAGCCGCGTCCAACAGCCTGGTTGACCAGTCCAACAACGATGAGGCCTGGTCGACGACCGGGCTCGCGGGGACGCTAAGCCCCGAAATCATCTTAAGGTAACCTCAAGGTAAGGTAGCTTGTCTAAGCTCCTCAAGGTAAGGTAGCTTGTCTAAGCTCCTCAAGGTAAGGTAGCTTGTCTAAGCTACTCTATCATCTTAAACATTATTTTACTATCTCAATCGTACTTGAGGTAGGTAATGACCTGTCACAGGTGGGCGAGGCGAGGTGAGGTCAGGGTAAGATGTCAGGGTAAGGTTAAGGCGGTCATGACGGGGTAGAAATAGCGTAAGCTACTCTAATCCTTTGAGATGTATTTTATCGTCTCAATAAACGTACTTGATCTTGAAGGCGGTCATGAAACGTTCGTATTCGACAGCCAGTCTCAGTAGTGTGGCAATGTCGTGTTCAGATTATCCTGGCTTTGTTCAGCTGCGTTGTCAGGACTTGACGGCTCCTGCGTCACAACGTTTCCTTTAAATAATATTTTTCTCACTGATGACAAGTGTAGCGGCCTGCCGGTTCGTTAGCTGTTGTTAGAGTTGTGTGGGTAACGAACTCGTTGTTTGTGTTGGCATGGTTTGGCTCAAGTTCAAGTTAATTTTTAGATAAAATACATCTCAAACTTATATATATATGTACAATGAATAAATCCACATATTTAAAATCCATGAATAAATTATTCATTTAATATATCACCCAAGTGTGATCTTTGTGTATTATATACACACAGAAACATTGTGCATTAGGCTATTTCTGCCCTCCTCTTTTACGGGACCCCTCAAGAGATTCACAGGTCTATGCAGTATTATAACTATATTATATAGCTCAATAAAATTTACACTAGTTCGGTAGTCATCACATAGTACATATTACAATATAAATTAAGATTATTTTAGTGACCTGTTTGTTTTTTTGCAAAAACTTTTTGCAAAGTTTTTGAACCCTCCTATGAGAACAGTTTCTTATTATATATCATTATATGAGGTGCACTACAAACTTCCACATTTCTATAGTTATCAAACAATTTACACTCTAGTACATAGTTATCAAGGTTTTGAGTGCGGAAGAGTGCATTCCTTATCTGGGGATCGAACCCGGAACCTCAGGACTACGAATCCGAAGCGCTGTCTACTCAGCTGTCAGGCGCCGGAGACTCATATTCATGAGACTCCCTACAAATGATGGGTTGTTAATCTTGGGAATTAAGGACAACAATAGGTGTGACCAAAGTACTGATATTGAAAATATGGTACATATAATTTATTTCTGAAAGTTGAAAGTAGTTTTTGTAAACTAGATTACAGACACTTATAGCCTTATGTGGACCAAGCATTAGAGTGGATTTAATGAGGTTTTTAATGTTTCATGATGACGTAAAATGCCAGAAAATTCATAATACAATAATTATGATATATAAATGTAATAATTTCCCCTATAAATTAATGTAAATATAATCCCCAATATTGTAAATCATTTAAAGAAAAATAAGTATAACATTTATGGGTTTAAAGTTCATGTTCTGTGATAATGAAACACTTGTTTATTGAGAATTATACTACTGTATATGTAGTGTATTGCCTTGTAAAATTTATATATGATTTATATTGTATTTTATTAAATAAAGATAAAAAATTTATCTGATTACTTTCTGATTACATTTTTTGTGTGTGGATAGGCAGGCAGGAGGGTTAATCATTAGACAAAATATTGAAGTTCTTACGAGGCAGGATCAAGTATAACATTTGGGGTTTACGTCTCATGATCGGTGATGATATGGATAATTGGTTTCCTGTATAAATGCCATGTAAAATTCTACGAGCCCCCATTGTACTAATACTAAATAGATGCCCAAAATGATCACGAAAATAAAGAGACTGTATAAGTTGAAGGAATGAATAACCATGCCATCTGAAGTCACGCGGACAAGGACACCCAATGCAACAAAAACAAAGTACAAAGGATTCTAAAACTAAAAATATTTTCTAGTAATAGTTTTAATAACATTCTTCAAACGTAATATATGCTGCATTTTATTATAAATATATTATAACATCACTAGTATAGCTTATACAAGAATCGACATACACTTGTATAATACGAAATACAAGAATACGTAATACAATTGATATATCGGTGTATTGACGGAGACTGACGATCAGTTGACGGAGACCTGAGCCAGCAACATCAGCCGAAGTATCTATGGTGACGTCGACGATAGTATCCGTGGTGGCGACGTCCGTAAGGCCGATAACCATATCCGCCATACGGGCCATATCCACCGTAGCCCCCGAAGCCGTCATCGCGAATAAAAAGTCCGAAATTCGGTAGGGCTTCAGGGGCGGGAAGTGGCATGACCACCTTTAACATCAGGCACAGGGCCATCGCTGCCAGTGTCTGGACAAGGGAAAAATAACATGTTATTACCTTAAGTCTCTTAGTGTATAGAGAACGTTAATGCAGACAAAAAGATAATTCCTTGGAAAGATAATACTGACAAAGAAAATTCCTTTTAAAGAAAATGCTGACAAAGATAAATCCTTTAAAAAGAAAATGCTGACAGAATCTTAATTCCTTAGAAGATATCGCTGACAGAAACTCAATTCCTTAGAAATAGCAAATGCAGCACGACGCAAATATATGCTGTATATGAAAATCAGAGATTTTGAGTTTCAATCAGAGTTAAACATATATATATCTGTCCCTACACTGTTCGCTCATCAGTACTTTGGGACCTATTTTTAAAAGACTTAGCAGGATAAACAAGTAAGATAAGCATTCAAATAAGCTGTGGGAGTGGGAGCAAAAATGATCTTGTAATCTAGTAATGATTATAATCTATTAATCTTGTAATCCCTCACTGCTGACTATCAAAGAAAATATTTATAGTAAGAACATAAGAACAAAGGGAACTGCAGAAGGCCTATTGGCCCATACGAGGCAGCTCCTATTTATAACCATAATAAGTAAAGTTTCTCTAATATTTAACAATAATAATTAAACAATTCTAACAATAATAACTAATTTTACGAGTCCCTCGCGAAACATGAGAACAGTCAGATCTTCACACACATTTGAATTATTTTTAAATAAATAACAAAATGAAATATTCACCAAAATACCGACTCGAGTACAAATCGCACATCACAGCAAAGTTAATTATAGTACTTGAATGGGGTGAACTTACGAGTTTCATGTTGACAGAGGAGGTAGTAGCAGCCTGGTCACTGCTGGCGGGTCTCTCAGGAACGGTGACCTGTTGATCTCTTGGCCTGTGACTTACTGATGGTCAAAAATTCTCGCCCCAGACCTTTATGTACTGACCCAACCCACACCCGGCAAGGTTGCCAGTAAATTAATAGATAAATGATCCAGAGCTACCAATATGGAGTCTCTTTAAGTTTAAGAATGTTTATTGAGACAATAAAATACATATCAAAGGGATAGAGTAACTT